ATGATTTTGAGTCCTGGGTTTTTGTTGTTGTTGTTTTGGGTTGTTTTTTTGTTATATAGCAGGAATTATAAAAGACACTGGCCTGAAATATATATCTTGCCATTGTGAACGGCTCCTGCATGGGCTGCCAAAGGTTGCGGTAACGAAGACACGTAACGCCACTCGTTTGTCTCCAGGTTGTAGCACTCCACGCTGGACAAGTAGCCAGTTTCGTTTCTTCCCCCAATTACATACAAGTTTTTGTCAAGGCGACAGGCGTAGAAACTGGCTCTCCTGGAGGACAGGGCAGAACAAAACAAAACAAGCCAACAACAAACCAATTAGCCACGTCAGCCATGTTTTTTTTCCTTTCCAACTGACTCCCTGAACTAAGATAGCGGCTCCTTCAAACGCTACTTCAGACAGAAGTGTCCAGGAGCCTCACATGCTTGCAGCTATCCTAGAGACTGTGGCTGCTTGCCTAATCAAATACATGCTCCACATCAAATGAATACTTCATTTTTGGTGTCAAAACAATTAAGCACACATCTGGCATAAAATACCCCTTTTCAAAGCTGTTTGTTGCTTCTTCACACCCGTGAAAGATAAAAAGGTGCTCATTAATGTTTGGGGCATTACCTTGTAAGGGATATAACAACTCAGTAAGACAAATGAAAAATGAGGTAGATAATGTAACAATAATAAATTATCTTGACATTCACTTTCTTTATGGTCCTTCAAGGGTCATTGTTCCCAATTTACTAAGAGAACCACATCATCAAAATTTTTCTTCAATTATCATTTTTTTCTTCTTTCTGCAGTACTGCAAATAGAATAACTTTCCTTATGCTAGGCACAATATTACATTTCTGCCCTTTAACTCAAAAGAGGTCTGTCTCCATCCAACTAACTCTGAGAAAAGTTTTAACCACCTGTTTGCTTTCACACGCAACTCAGGTATGCAGGAAAATAGTTACTGTTTCTGGTCAGGACTGCTAGGGATATATTAGTTTGTCTTCCTTGTGCCTCCAAAATTAACAGTGTCTGTTGCTGAAGTAAAAACGGAGCAGTAGATGATTCTGAGAGACCCTGTTTGGTGTAATCTACTTTCAGGGAAAGCTCCCTGTATTATTCAGCAGCAGGAAGGTTTGTTAGGGTAGAGGCCTTTAATTTTAAGCTGCAATGATATGAGAAAGAAAGTTGCAAAAGAGCACAGCTAGGCTAGGATGAAGACCTGTACAAAATGTTGAATGACAAGAATTGTCAGTCCCAAACCTCAAATTTTCTCCTGGGTGAAACTGGAGTAGTGTGCGAGCCCAGAGACAAGCAGGCAGGTGAGGCACGGCAAGGTCTAGCTCTGACAGCTCCTGCGAAACAGGCACGCTGGAGCGTGGCTGCAGCTTACCAAACCCTGCCCCGTGGCTGACACAAGGCACTCCGGTTCCTGCCCAGGCACCCAAATTTAAATCTTGGAGCGGCTGCATATTGCACTCCTGAATCGCACGGTACATCTTAGGGGCTTGATGGTCACCTGCACCATAAAGGGCTTGATCCTGCAGACTGCTGCAAAGCATTCGGGATGAGTGGTGGTCCACCTGCAGAGCACAACACCCTGCAATGAACAGCTCTGGTATGTCCCAATCCTCTCCAGGCTTCCCTATAGTCATCCCATGACCAGGTGGGCTAGCAAAGCCTGGTGTGCCGTGTCTCTAACCTGCCATCTAGCCAGGCACATGTTCAGGAGCATTTCCTTCAGTGAAGGCAGGAATAAGATCTCTCTCCTTTACCCAGCTGCCTATTTTCACAACATTTGTAGTATGCTTTAACATTTTGGAGAAATTTCCCTCTTTGTTAAATGTGGCTGAGACTGGCTGATAGTTTATAAGTTGGAGGAGAGGTCAGGCAGACATGAAGATACAGCCATGGAAACAGCAGGGCTGGCTGGGCATTCAGGGAACAGATCTGACGCAACGCCGCCTGTTTCTAGCCTTACTTTTTGGATTTGGTGCACACCTGGCAGGGCTCCTTATCCTGGCTGGTGAGGAGCTGCGTCACCGAGCACCTCTTCTCTACCTCTTTGCTTTCATCTTGCCTGCACCACAACTTGGACGGTGCAGTACAGCACCCCTTGTTGAGCAGGAACACTGGCATAAGGATAAGGCTACCAAAAGACAAGATAGAAACAGGAGGACAGGAATGCTGCTAAGTGCCTCCAGCCCAGCTGCTGAATTAAATAAGACCATTTAATTTATCTGTCAATGGGCAGATAGAAGCTGATGGCATATATTGCTCTGCATGGTCGGGCAGCAAATCGTGCATCTATGTTTTTAGCCTGATTTTCTATGGAAACAAAGCTTATTTGATTACACTGTACGTGTACCCATGTCTGCCTGAGTGTTGTCTCCTCAACAAAAACCTGCTGGCTGATTTCACTCTAGTTTGACAGAGGGCATTTGTTAGAGGCAATCAAGTGCCTATATGCTTCCTGAGAGTACGTGACAGGCCAGAGGTAAGACAGCCTGTAGCGGCCCCAAAAGTCGGAAAAGCTGCAGAGGTCACATCCTATGAGACATCAGAGAGCCTGCACGGGTGGGCACATGCTCTCCGACCCTCCTGTGTCTGGCAGCTGCAAGTCACAAACCCACAGGGTGCCTGTCGTCAATGCTTGGGGTGCTCACACGTCCGCTCGTCTGTCCTCGCGCACCTCCTCTGACAAACCTGTTAACGAACTGCTCTCAGCATGGTTTTTTTTAGGTCAAGTTTAAGAAACAGAGGTAGGTACAACTGGCAAGCATTACTATTTTAACTAGGATTTCACCGACATTATTCTGTATGTGTACTCCTGGTTTCATCCACACAGTGTCACTATAAGGAGCAAAAATGAAAGTGTCAGAACGCTTCACTCTTCTGCTTGGATGTGAATATTCGCTCAGTAACTCCTGGCCCAAATATTGTAAGCTGTTTGGTTTTTTACTTTTCAATGATACAGTGTGTAAGGGGCATGCTGTTAAGTGATGACTTTTTAAACTGCTGTAAAATATGATTCAGATTAAAATATAATAAAATAAAATAGCAATCTTTGCACAACAACTTTCCCCACAAAAGTGGGAAAAGGCTATCCATTCTAATGAGATAAATGGAATCCACCTCAGGATCTGAATATGGACAATAAGGCAATTATTTTGTGGTTTTCTTCAGGACTGCAAGTACTTGACGTTCACTGGTCTCTGAAATGCTTTTCCTTCACTCCCCTTCACTGAATAATCAACCCAACTAACTCCTTCTTGTAAGTACAAACACATAAAAGGGAAGAATTTCTTTCTGATTTCCACAGATGATGAATTTATGCCCTGAAACAGGAAATACAACTACCAGTCTGAGATTTAAAACTATCAATACTTTTACTAATCATCGCAATATCTGGACCTGATTTCAGGGTCACTGTTAGAGTGTATGCGTTGCTTTTCAAAAACTAAAGTAATCTTAATAAGGGTTAACATTACTATTATTAAAGTAATAGACTAAAATAAAATGTTAAATTGTTTTATCTCTTTTTCTGTGGCTTCTTTTCTCAGTTCACTTGGCCTCAGTGAGGACGCTGACCTGCTCATTTCCACTTTTGCTTCTTCAGGCCCTGGTACAATGCCGTGTTTTTTGCTGGTCTTTAAAAAAAAACTTTCAACTTGGAATGCAAGAAAAAAGAAGATGTTTTAAATATTATTATGTTCCACACACCTTGTCCAGCTCTGGGCTTAGCTGGCAAGACGGAACAGCACTGACTGAGGTGTCCAGCTGAGGCTCATGCCACAAGTTCAGATACGCCTGCTACAAAGACCACTCCTTCAGTAGGCATGTTAATCTAACTGAACTGCTCTCTGAAAAGCATCCCGTTGTTATTGCATCAGCAGGCAGATGTCTATTTCAAAAGCCGATGAGTCATTTGCTGTTTCTCTAAAAAACGCATGCCTGAAAATAGTACATACTTTTCAAAAGCATGTATTTTTGAGATGTTCTTCAAATGAAAAGAAACCAAACTTGGCTTTAAAGAAAATACACTGATGGCTCTGAATCCATAACGGGATTAGACTTTTCTTTATAGCTCATGCGGTAAAATCAATCAGATATGGATTTTAGCATATGAGATAAAAGTTTACTCATCAAATATTTCATACAGATTTTCAACTTGAGAACATACTGCCTGTGAATGAGACCTACATTTACCTGGCAGTCATTTCAAAGGAGCTATTATAGTCTATCCAGCCAATTATTCTCAGACTAAAATTCCTAAGTAGGTTTTGACTTGATGGACCATAATGACTCAGAAGAACCCATTAAACAGTCTGTCTTGTCAATGGTGCCTGCATTATGCCAGCAGAGACAGGGCGTGACCCTGTACTCCTAGCTGGGAAAAAATAGCCTGTTGACTTTAATGGGAACTTTATCTGACTGAAGGAGCTGGGGAAGGAGGCTGCTAAAAGCCCTCTCTTGTTTGTATGATCTTCTAAAAATTGCGCCAGACCCTACCTCCAAAGGCTGCAACAACTCTGAGGAAGTCATTAGGGATGAGCAAATAAACCATTAAAAACATTTTAGAAAGTGATTTGAAAATCCTTGTTTTCCAACAATAGGCCCAACGCTTAGGAGCCTTTATAGAGAAATAATGGGCAAGCCTATGAGTTATGCATCCTGAACAAAAGAGGTGACGATTAACGTTGTCATAGTAAAGCCCCTTGCAGAAGGAACTATGAATGAGTGGACCATTACATTTAAATAACACTGTAAGGAGCCGAGATGCTAATACATTACCGGGCAGCTGCTAAGAATGTGCAGCAGAGTTTCTGACTCTCGGCTGAAGGCAACAGCTTACACCAGAGCACAAGGCAAGTCATATTCCACACCTGCGATTATAAACTGATTTTCTAGTGAAACACAACTGGCCACTGTGTCCTACTGCCTGCTTTCTCCAACCCTCAACTACCTACTTCTGCCTTCTGAGCTTTGTCAGCCAAATAAGCCCAACCGTTCAGCCAGCCGCACGTGCCCTTCAGGAGTTTTGCTTGCAGATACCCAGAAGGCCTAATTAGGACACAGATTAGGCTCCACAGAAGAGCTTCAGGCTCAGTACAAACACTAGTCAGCCTCCCGGTTCACTGAGGATGACCTGCATGGCGACGCACACCTCCTGTCTCCCCCGCGCCAACACCTGAGCTGGTGGTGACTCAGTCCGGGGAGCTGAACCAGAGGGGAAGGCATCCCACTATTTTAAGGTAAATAACCCAGTTGTGGGGTTATCCCACAGTGCTGGCAGGAGTGAGGGAGAAGGCTGGGGGCTGCCAAAGCAGGGTCACCTCTTTAGCTAAAGTCTGCTGTTGGACTAGCTCTATTAACAACTAAAAAAGAAAAAGGAATTTTAGTAAAGGATTTTTACAGTAAAGGATGATGTTATTAATAAAGCCCAAAACTATAATGAACTGTGATGCTCTTTTTTATCTCTATTTATATGGCTAATTTTATCAGTTCACTCAGCTCCAACAGGGAACCTCCTCAGATCTGTTCCACTTTTGTGCTTTTTCATGCAGTGGTACAATGCAGTATTTTTTGGTGACAAGCATTGCACATGTGTCTGCGTATGGACTTAGGTAAATCAAACTGAATCCTGAACAAAGGCTCTTCAAAAACTCTACAGACTGACATTTTACCTCTGAAAATTTGAAAGGACAGCCGTATTTCCATGCATGTCGTAATACACACCTTGAATTGCAAGGTTGCATTGAGTTCAATGTATTTATGACTGCCAGACACCTGAACACTGGGGGCAGGCAACAGAAAAAGAGCTGTAATACTGACAGCACATGGAATAAGGAAAGTGTCTTAGGGAGGTGGTGTGAGATCTGTTGTACACTGGATCCATGAGAAGATGGGTGTTGAACTGAAGGATGGACATTGAATGCTGTTTCATAAAACAACATTGTAACGTTGGATCTTCTGCCTTTGAGATTCTTCTTAGGAAACATGCATCATTCGGTTCAGGTTTGGGGGACTTTTTACCTGCCAAGGTAGGATTTTGGATCCAGAGTTAAGTTTACGCCATCTTTACCGGTCATTGCTCAACTCTACGTGCACCTCTGCTCTTCGGTACACAATTACGATTAAAATGTATGCTACTCCAATATGCATTAGCTGACAGCAACTTCACTTAAAGACCACCTAGGATTAAGAGTTCTCTGACAAGGTGAGACATGTTGAGGAGAGCTTTTCATGGCTGGCATGGTGAAACAGGATGGAGTCAACATGTGAAGGTTTCAGTTCCCTGTAAGATATCTGACTATACTGCTTATTTACTGCAAACTCATGATGCTTCAGTCAGGGAACATGACAGGACACTGTGAAGACTTCAGAAAAATCCTTCAGACCGTACTCAGGCAACCAGTAATTGCACAAAGTCCATGGTTATTTTGCATGAGTTAGCCCTGCAGGATTTGGCATCTGGAGTTTTGAATTTGGAAAGTTTAAAAAAATTAGGAGACAAATGGGAAGCAACTGCATGCTGCAATTTTATCTCAGTATTTTCAATGCTTCTGTAGGCCTCCTTCCTCCCAGAACTAAGCCAAACTTCAGCTGCTCCTAGGATGATAAAACATATATTGAAAAACACGTAGCAGGTTTTTACCTCTCTTGCATGGGTGGAAGTTGTATCCAGCTGTTAAACCTGGGATCGTATCGGCTAACAAAGTTTGTACTGTGTTTCCCTGTAAAGATAGATTATTTTGACACTCAGCTGTTTGTTTCATGTATTTAACATCATGATTGTAATATATATTACATATACTTCACAAGTTGACAGCTTTTATGAAGGGTTCCCCCTTTTACAACAATGTATGATTACACTATGTGTACAGTAATAATTCAACAAATGGGGCACTGCAAGGTTTGAATTAGCAATTGTTAGCAGTAGAAGCAGATAGAGATTATTCTTGCTCTCTGTAGTAAGATCTTGAAAATGTGTATTTAAATGTGATACTTTCACAGCCACAATAAATCACAGCACTAAACAAAATTACTGCCCAAAAGAGGGCATCCCCACAGTATTTTTATGACTAGAGTATTTTGTGGCAGGTAAAAAAATCAAAGTGCAAACACGTGCTTTTCTTTCTCCTCACATCATCTCTACGTAGAATATGGTAAAAAAACCTTGTGCAAATAACCAGGAGCTGCATAAGCCATCAGCATGGGGTATGCAATGTTTGCACTAGATGGTTTATTCCACCATGTACTTTCAGTGTAAGTTAGAAGGAATTACACATGTGCATCGAAGGGGGAATACACTCTTAAGAGTTTTATTCCAAGTGTGTTAGCTAAAATATGAAACATGAGCAACATACACCAGCTAACTAGCTTATCCCTGCTGTAAAGCCCAAGGTCTGTATTCATGTCTTCACGATATTAAGATTTCATCTTATTTTACATGCAGATTGACATCAAAGCAAGAAAACTGAAGCAAGAGAGTGTATGGCAATTTCCTGTAACACCTGAGACTTCAACAGATGAGGATCTCGGAAACAGAAACCTTTGTTTATGTATGTGTGACTAAAAAATTGAATTAGAGGCTTCACAGGCCAGCAGAATAACCCAACTGCCTATGTCACAGTTCTATAAATGGTCACTGGGCATTCTACAAGGTGAATATTTTTGCATCAGAAAAGCCTCTGTAGGATTGGCTCGCTTTGCTTGTTTCATTCCACACTTACTTCAGCAAGTGTAAATAGACCATCAAGATTCTAGAGAAGAATAACGATACAGCTAGAATTTATATTCGTAATAATTTAAGATCATGTTCTACAAGAAAACAGAGAAAGAAACCATGTTGACCGCTCCGTCTGGAAGCAAACTCATTCCCTCGCTATGTTATAAGCATGTTCTATATGAGGAGGGTAAAGCAGAAGACTGATGAATAATGCAGCATTTCCCTTCAAATCCAGCGTGGTGCCTAATGAGGACCAAAGCCCTTTATGCTGAGCACCACTCAAACACATCTCAAGACATAGGGTGAGATCTCCATACACTAAGGGCAACTGGTCATTTTGCCACTGGGTTTAGTGAAGTGAGGCTTTGCTCTTGGTCCCTATCTGAATATCTTTAGTCTATACAGACAATTTAGAAAAAGCAGCATTGAGAGCTATAGATTCAGTAAACCGCAAAAGAGTAACAGCAGGCATCTAACTGGCTCTAGGTCTCACTATTTAGGACATTTATTAATCTATTTCTATTTCAAAAAGCAGAATTTCAAAACATTTTAAGTATTGATCATAAGTTTGGACTTCTAGTAGGAGGTTTTAATGCTGCCATATTCACTACATCTTTCAGAGTTACTGAGGACTTCAGTGGTCACTGGTTATATAGCAGCTTTTAAATTGTTGTCATACAAACCTATGATTTGGGCACCTTGGCCTCCTAACATAACATGTGTCATACACATATTCACTACAAATACCTCGAATGTAGAAGACTATACAGTGCAGGGCAGAAAGAGAAGGGTTTAGTGAGCCTCGAGTGGGAATACAGGATACAAATCTGGTCCCTTCACAGGAAGGGAGATGAAATCGAACTAGAACAGGCACAAAGAAGAGCTACTGTGGTGACAGGAGGAACAGAAAGTTTACCTTATGGCAGGAGAGAAAGAACTTGGCTTGTTGCACCTAGGAAAACAAAAGCTGAAAGGGGATAGGAGCGCTGTCTGTAATACATCAGAAGAACAAATCTCCAGGAGGGAGATTAAGCTAAACTAAACTTTAACTATTAAGTTCTCAGCCAACTTTGGCATGAGAACAAGGTGATTTAGACAGTCAAAGAATACATTTTACTGGAAATTAGAATAAGGGTCCTAGTCATTTAGAGCAATTGGATTCTGTAACAGCTTTCCAACAGGAGTATAGGGGCGAAAAATCCAACTGTTTTTCGAATGGAGCTTAGAAAATTTACAAAATGGGCCTATATGACGCCTGTGATGGCAGGAAAAGGACTTGATGACCTACTTAAGCTGCCTGGTGTAACTGGTTTGACTCCAGTTTAATTTTGGAATTCAGTTTGCATGACAACTGTATATTATTTTGCCTTGCTCATCAGTCAGGAGGTTTACACGTTAGGAAGCACCTGCCGGAACGCAGAAACTGTAACAAGTGATCGGAAATCAGGATTAGCAAATCAGGACGATGGGACAAAAGGAGGCAGGTGCTGCTGCTCTCTGCTCTCTACAGGAAGGTCTCTGCAGCCATGCCAAAAGGTGAAGGGCTCTGAAGGTTATGAAAGTTGGTCTTAATCCATGCCTGCAACCTGCTCTCATAAGCGTTTACTTGTGTGGGGATCCCTTGTGACTGGAAAGGTATAGCCATAGGAGGATGTAACAAAAAAGAGAAAAAAAGTCTCCCGTGCTCTCTAGGTTATCAGGAAGTCACAGGAGCAGCATGGAGGGTACATGGGCGCTCCTCGGGGTCCACCCGGCTTCTCAAGAGCCTGCAGGTCTGATGGCTAAAGAAATGCATGGTGCTCCTTCCATTGCCCTCATCTTAAGGATAAGTCTGGAAAAACACCTGGCACATTCTCATTCAAATCAAAAGCCTTGTAATGCTCTGGGCAAGACAGTTCCAGCTAGGTCCATATGAAGCCCCTTCTGTACTATGAGGATAGCAAACAACGGCCTTTACATAAATTCAAGTGGGTATGTGCGAGCAGTTCCCATATAGCTGCACATTTAAAGCAAATCAGTTTCAAGAAAGAACTAGCCCAGCAATAGCACAGGATACAGTTTACGGTTTTCAGGTCCACTTTTTGTGACAAGTAAGATCCATTTCTCTTGGGGTAAATTCATAAAGAGATCAGTATCAGCAATGCTCCTACCTCTTTTATTCCTATCTTCTCTACAGACAAATCACAGCTCTGGTTCATAGAACAAGGAAGCTGTTAGACATCCGATGGCAACGTCTTCAGCTCAGAAGTTGATCTAGGCGACCTCAGACCTAAGGTACTATCCATCTCACAGTTGTGCTCAACTCCTATCTCAGCTGCAGGATATGTACCCATTCTTACGTCTCTCCATGATCTTGCGACTCAGTTTCCACATCTTTAAATTGTGGGTAATTATACTTCTTTTCTTTCATCCTTCATGTGACATGGCTATTTAATTATAAACTGTCTGGAACAAGGTCTGCCTCTTCTTATGCCTACGCCAACCACTAAGCACAACATGGGCCCTCAGTTGTTGGATGTGGCTGATGCTCCTAATAATAAACACCATTAATGATACCACGCCATCTCCTGTTTAATAAATAGAAGATCCAACAATAGAACTGAAGACATTTAGTGGTATTTTTAACTACACGGAAATATGCTTATAGGGTGGACTGGATTGTTTGTCTCAGGTTTTAGGAAGTGAACAGATGTAACAATTTTCTATAATTTGGTTTACTACAGATGCTGAAATGGGGCATTCACAATAAAATATATGCAGTATATGTAATTTCAGCTGGATCCTCTGGTGTTTTAAAGTAAAAATGTGTACCTGCAAGCTGTTTTATGGTTTCTCAGTCATAATTATCTCTGTTACACAGACTGCTACAACTACAACCCTTTCTTCGTGTGCAAGCTTTTTAACAATGTCTTGACAATTTTGTGAATTTTGCAAGGCATGGTATTCTCCTTTTGCTTTGCTCAGAAGCCTGTTAAATTGTTTAATTTCTCTTTGCGGTAAATTTATGAAGTAATCAAATCAAAGAAGGTAGCAGCAGATAATCTATATGAGAAGCTCTTGCACAAGACTAAAAAAAGGACCAGTTTAAGAATCTCAGAGTCTAGATAATTAACACATTAACAACTTTAGCTGCGAGTATCTGGTTTGACAATAGAAAGGAAGCATTCATCTACTGCAATTGCATTATTATATTATGACTGGAAGGAGACTGGAAATGAAGGTTAAAATTCTTAACAGCTGCTGCCTGGGTGCATGCACTTGAAAGAGTCTGTTCTGCTGCCTGTGGCATTTCTCAAGGGATGTGGAAGCTGATGAATGAAGGAGGTGCTAATGCTAAAGTACCAGATATTTATTACATCAATATCTAAAAGTAGCCTTTATTAGGTTCAACAATTAGGCTGAGGGTCCTCAAAATCCCTTGCTAATGACTACATCAGCTGACCTGACAGACAGACAGACAGAGGAAGGCAGATGCTGCCTGTGCCTTTTAATATTCTATACATACCATTCGGGTTCCATTGGTCTTCTCCTCCCAGCACGAACAAGAAGTTTTCCACTTCCACAACACAGTGATGGGCACTGTTATATGGCATAACTGCAAGCAAAGCAAGAATCCTTTGTCAGCTCAGGGCACTGATTCCATCAAATATTTCCAAAGGTACAAAATACAACACTGGGATTACATCTGTATAAAATAGTGGGGGAATGCATCACCCCAAGCATGTATGTCCACTGAATTAGCAGCAGACAAAGCCACTTATTAGTAATCTTACATTATTCAATCTTGCAAATAATTGAGGAAAAAAGCTGGAATTCTGCCCCCCCCCACCTGCCCAACTGCTGCTCTAAAACCAACTTGTAACAAGGGGTGAAGTTGCCTGATATTTCCCTGAAAATAAGCAGATGCTAGGAATCCTAGTATGATAGGAAACATTAAGAAAACCTCGGCCCATCTTTGTTCTGCTGGTAATGTTTCCACAAGAAGAGTCAGTGTGTTCAGTAGCTTTCTATTACACAGCAATGAACAAGCTGCATTTCCATACAGTTTTAAGTTTTTAAATTAAGGTCCTGCTGATTTAATGCCTTTTCCAAATGTATACGCTTAATTTCCTGTACAATGTCATTAGCAGCACAATCACACATTTTCTATTCATCTAATCAGGAAGCCCTTTGTTAACAAAGATCAAAACTGTGGCGTTAGGTTTGCAATATCCGTTTTTTGGAGGTGTTGCAATTACTATGGACCAACTACAGTCACAATAATCTATTTTTTTAAATTTACATGTTCCACTGCAAATGCTAAGACACAAAAATAAGGACTTATATATACATAATATGCACATATTATTGCAGTGTCATACAGCACTATTGTGATACTATTTGGTAAATGTAAACTTACACAGCATTAGTTATCATACCACATAGAGTAGTTTTGGCCCAGTGACACCAGTAGGAAAAATGATGTCCTTGTTCAGCTCATCATATGGGCACCTTAAATCTAGGTGAGGACAAATGGGGAGGTGATGTGCATGTACAGGCAGGGAACTTATTGCTTGACACGGATCAACAGAGCACTTAGGAAACCAGTGCAGTGGGAAATCAATATGACTCAGGGCCAGCTCTTACTTTGTGCTCTTTTGCCAATGCCAAAAAAAAAAAAAAAAAAGGGCAAAAAAAAAAAAAAAAAAAAGAGGCAGCCTATCTCACACTTGGATTATTTTGGGTGATATATCTCTCATTTCATTTGTTTTATTATCTTTTATTTTTCTCAGAATGCAGTTGTGCAGTATAGCATATGCAAATAATAATAAGAAGAAATACGCACAGCTTTGTTATTTAGGACACATTTTCTTAAAGATCAAGTGGGCTCATTTAAGCTTCTTACTGAAGTTTTTGCCAAGGCAATGATGAATAAGTAAGGTACATTTTTAGTTTCTAGTAAAGGTCGAATATCATTTTCATAGTCTGTGCTCTTACAAGTCATGTAAGTGAAGCAGTTCTTAAATTGGGCAGCCAGGTACAGCGAAAGTTAATTAATTAAGATTATTTGTTACTAGTACACTTTATGTAACTGGGAAGTAATCCTATACTAGGCACTGCATATGATCTTGTACTACCTATAGATTCCTACAGTGGGATGAAAGAATGAAAAAGATTTTTGTTATCTTCTTAGCCCCCATATCACAGAATCATAGAATCATTAAGGTTGGAAAAAACCTCTAAGATCATTGAGTCCAACCGTCAACCCAACACCACCATGCCCACTAAACCATGTCCCTAAGCGCCTCATCTACACGTCTTTCAAATACTGACAGGGACGGTGACTCCACAACTTCCCTGGGCAGCCTGTTCCAAGGCCTGACCACTCTTTCAGTAAAGAAGTTTTTCCTAATGTCCAGTCTAAACCTCCCTTGGCGCAACTTGAGGCCATTTCCTCTCGTCCTATCACTAGTTACTTGGCAGAAGAGACCGACACCCACTTCACTACAACCTCCTTCCAGGTAGTTGTAGAGCGCAATGAGGTCTCCCTTCAGCCTCCTCTTCTCCAGGCTAAACAGCCCCAGTTCCCTCAGCCGCTCCTCATATTTATCTCATTCTTTAATCTCAGACATTTTCCCGTTTTAAAATTCTCTCTCTCAAAACCCCAGTACTTTCCTTGGTTTTGTGGATGCTTGTACTACAGAATGAATTTGGGTGTCCCATGGGAAATTTGCTGTCTTCCTTAGATGCTTTTTGGGACCCCTCCTCTCAGGAAGAGACTTCCCAGGATCAGTCCACAGAGTTTTCAATTCTTACCTCATCCAGTGCTCTATTATGGTTTCAAATTAGGTCCAAGCCAGTGGTTGTACTCTCAACCAGGCTCTTCCTCTGGTCAATCTGGAGATCTAGCATTTATTAGAAGAACTGTCTGCAGGCAGCACACATGCATATTTTTCACATGTTGTGTTTCCATTTTTAGAAACACTTTTGTTTATTTATCCTCCATATTGACACAAACAGGGCCAGTAGAGGAAGAAATTATATTTTAAGCTTTTCTGCTGTTCCCATGCATATAAACTATGCAGTAAGACTCCCACACTTATAATGATAATTAAACCTTGAAAACTAAGGGCTTAATCCTGGCTCCTACTTAACTTGATGGCAACATTCCCACTGATATGGGATTGGGCCCAAATGACCTGAACTACCATCCGTAACTCATGGGAAAGCTAAAGGGAAGCTTGCCCTAGAAAGGAGGGTAGTATCTGGGCTTCAGAAGGAAAGGTGACTGCAATAAAACACTGCACACCTTTACTACGACCTTTGTTTCTCACAGAGCTTTGGGGAAAACTCTGTTCTTGGTCTCATGAATCTGCCCATGGGGCTGGAGGGGGCTGGACAAAACAGGGAGGACGGAGTAACACTGTGGACATCTAAAAGGGAAGGAGTTTTGGCATTGAAATTGCCAACATCGCAGTCTTTCTCCCTGACCTTTTTCAGGGTCCCTCAGAATCATGAGTTATACACAGAAATCAAAACCATGGGAATGAACGGGGTTTTTTACTTCTATAAAAAGCCACTTGAAAGCACAAACCATGGGAATGAACGGGGTTTTTTACTGCTATAAAAAGCCCCTTGAAAGCATCAGAAAACTTGTGCTGTAAACCGTAATTCCTTATGAACACACACCCATATAGGACATAACTTTTCATAGATATAGTCAAAATTACGTGGCAATGAGCATGCAAAATTCAGCCTCTAGTAGGAACAATCTTCTCAAACGCACTGGGCTTGCCAGGGTGTAAGAGGAAGAATTTGGCCCATGACACAGTCTGGCCAGGCTGCTGCTTTCATTAATTTTATATGAGCCTTTGTCTGCTGTTTTGCTTTAGTAATGTGAAAATCCCATCTTCTAATTTTTTGATTTCAACTCAGCGGAACACCTGCCTGCCCCGCAAAAAGGGTATTTGAAGAGAAGTTTGTACGCCACGCTCAAACACAGCCCAGTGTGAGTTTTTAGCGTGTCAGTCAGTGAGTTAGAGGGAAAGGGTAAGGAGAAGCTAATCAGGATGAAATGAGATTAAAGGCTGTCTAATTTTACAGCAACTGTGATCCATCAGCCACTGTGAAAGTGACAGTGGAAATGAATGATGGAGACAGACAGGTGGGGCTGTACATTTCACTGATTTATCCTCAAATGCACTGGGCCTTATTTTATTGAGTGAACATGACCGCATTTATCATGACTGTCATCTAAACCCACTTCCCTCCATTTAAAAAGGTCACTTTACTAGGAGGGAGTAGGATAGAGGCACTTTCAAAACAGATTTAGAATTTAATAACACATGTTTATAAAACCCTGTGCAAGAATTCTCAACTTTGCTAAAGACCGATTTAAAAGGAAGGAGAAAAGACTATTAAAAAGAGGAGAAGATGAAAAAAAGCCATGGTCATCTGAGAAACATGCTTAGCTACCAAGGCGATAGGTGCCAGAGAATTTTGTGAGAAGGACAGATATAAACAGATTAGTCGGAGCGGGCAGAAACCACCTCCTCTAGGCCCCTGCCCCTCACACGCACTTCCCAAAGCGCGGGAGGCCCACGGTTAACAAACTTGTCCTTTCCTGGACCAAGAGCACAAACGAGTCCAAGCAGCCCTACAACAACCCCAAAGGACAACACCCCCACCAGCCCCCTTCCCACGCAATTTATGTATGATCGGCAGCAGACCCTCCGTAAGGTGGAAGGCAATTTCTCAGGTACAGATACGTAACATGCAGAACTTCCTAGGTCAAAAGCAAATGGGTGATTTATACTTGAGAATGATCTGGAAGGCAGTAGAGTCCAAGACCGCAGTGGTGTTTGCTAAGAAATACTTCACTACACAAACATCAGTGACATTGTGCAGGAGGTGACACACACGGACGTTCTGCAGACGCAGACGCAGGTGGGAGACGCAGCAGCCCTCTGCACCTCAGGATAGCTGTCCCAGGCAAAAACTCCTCACATACGCCAAACCTTAACTAATAAAAGGCACCAGAAGATGTTCTGGGACCTGCTTTCAGAAACAGAGTCTACAGCTTATAGCCAAACGCTCATGAAACCAAACACTCTCAACCATAATGCCTATGAGCTCAGCCAGACGCAATGATGCTCCAAAGGCACCTCCAACTTTTGTATGGGGGTGACTGTGACACTCCTCACTCGCCTAATAAACAATAACGTGCTGTTTGTCTTACCCAGTTTTGCTTAGTTTCTGCCAACAATTCCACATTTAGGAAACAGCATCTGGTTGTTCTCCATACATTAATCAAGCGGTCATCAGTTCCTTCTTCTCCTTACAATCCACATTCCCCTGTCTATCGTCACTTCAACACTAACTAGCAGGGAAGAAGGGGGAACAGGAATGGCATTTCCCAAGACAGAAGGAGGGATGAGCTGTAGTCCCAGGAGATCTGAAAGCTGTGATACAGCCCATAGCCATTCCCCTGCTCTGCTAAAAACTCCTTTCAGAAACTGCACTTGATTCTTCTACTCAGACTTAAAAAAAAAAAAAAAATCCATAGATTTTTCACTGCCCTGAACTGTTCAGCTGCTTGGGATACAGGAGGTACCG